ATATATATATATATATATATATATATATATATATATATATATATATATATATATATAATTTGGAAGCTTTGAGATAAGAAGTGAGACCGGGAAGACGGTGTCGCAAAGGGCGCGAGAAAACTCTTAGTCAATAATGACTTGCCACAACTGTATTTACAAGGTCACAGTAATACCCAAACTGCTTCCTCAACACAAAGCCCCGGGGATGCCAACGCAGCACGTACGCGGTGTGGGTAGTCCTCCTGGTCGCGACGATACTGAAATGTCGCGAAACCCGTAGAAGGCCTTTTCTCTCTCTATAGGCGGAATATGCGGAACTAGTCAAAATCGCGAAACAAGAGGCTCGAACAAATGTCTCATGCGGGAGGCGAGCGATGAGAGAGAGTGGCTCGTGTCCTTCGGAGCCGGATCCTGACATGTGTTACACCACGTGAACATCCGTGGAGCATTTCGATAGGCTCGCGCGCGAAGTTGGGCTGTGCATATCTTTTCTCTCTCTACAGTCCGAATATGCGGAACGAGTCAAAGTCGCGAAACGAGAGGCTCGAACAAATGTCTCATGCGGGAGGCGAGCGAGAGAGAATGGCTCGAGTCCTTCGGAGTCGGAGCCGCGTATTACGCCACGTGAACATCCGTAAAGCATTTCGATAGGCCCGCGTCGGTGGCTTCAGAGGCGCTCGCGGCGACTAGAACAGCGGCCGCGAGTGGAGCTGCTGTTTCCTCCTATTTAGAGATCTTCTAGTAAGAGATACGCAAATTTGGTTGTTTGCAAGAATATGGTGGCTTCCATGTGTTACATATGTTAATATATTTATGAATATATATATGTATATATATATATATATATATATATATATATATATACTTTAATACTATTTATACAATACGCAGTAATACTAAATACTTTGCGTAAATTATATAATGAGTACAAAAAGCTAATACATAGTATAGTGTATTATTATTCGTAGTAATAGTTATATTAGTAGTAATAGTATTATTATTCGTAGTAATCGTTATAGTTATGCGTAATGTAGGTATGTATCAATTTGTTATATTCCATTTGTTTTATTCATACTGTTTTTCTTACAGTAACTTGGTTCGTCTTCGCCATTCGGACATTCTTTAATGCCATTGCACCTAAACAAATCATAAGATTTCATAACTCACAAACATATTCACAATATTTTTATATTATATGCAATAGTTTGTTCAAAACATATTATTGGATATCTCTTTTAGATTTACTTAGATACTCAGAAAATATTTTAGAGGTAACAACATGTTTGGTATCATCGCTGATCTAAACAACCGTCTGTCACAGACTGCTGTGTATTTTTCTTTTTATGTAATAATATAAAATAAATTTGATTTGTTTATATATACATAAAATAAAAAAATATCGCTGTCATATATATATATATATATGATTTCTTGTAAGAAATCGGTGTATCATACATGCGTGAAGCAGATTAGGTTTGCAATAAACATGTTAAACATGTTAAATCCGTGTATAACCCGTCAATATATATATAGTTATACATAGTTATTATTAGAGAAAATGTGACAATAAATAATGCTTTTTTTACACAGAATTCTGTATGGAATTTGTTCTATACTGACACGACGTGTATAATCACTTGTGTGCAGATAGAACTTATTAAAGTGAACAAAAAGTCTTTCGCTATTTTGCAAACACAAAATTACAATTATTGTACCAAAAGGAATGTATGCTAAACGCCTCCACTGTCCAATATTAAAGTTCACTGTCAAAGTCCAGTATCACTGTGCAGCATAAGAACGCCCGCCGTTACCAACAGTTTACCAATTGATTCAGACATTTTGAACGAGATTGGATTTAAAGAGTTCGTTCCACTGCATCATGCGTACTTAATCACCAATTTTCTCTAACTAATATGTTAATAATCGTAGTTGTTTGTAAAATAGTAAAGAACTTTCTCGTTGAACGATTAGTTCTATCAGTGATAGAAACTTTGCTCCGCGAGCAGCACGCATCAGCACGCATTCAGTTACATTTGCAGCACGCTGACAGCGCGTGGAGGGGATGGCTCCCATGCATGCGTGTGTGCCTCTCACAGTGAGTCACACTTCGGCTGAAGTACGGCTGAAGTGAGAGGCGCATACGGACAGAGCACGCATACATGGGAGCCATTCCCTCTACGCGCTGTCAGCGTGCTAAAAATGTACTTGAATCGGCATTCCTGATCCCCTCCCATGCTGATGCGTGGAGCAAAGTTTCTATCACTAGTTCTACCTATACACAAGCAGATGTATGCGTTCTGTTGTACACCATGTATACATATAGGATCTGTATAATTTACATTATTTAAGAACCACTTGAACGACGTAAGGAAACGATGGTAAAACGTACCACTGGTACCACTTTATGCAGATGTCATGTTCACTGCATTTAATTTCGCTGGAGGAGCATGTGTACTGCAAAATGCACGTGTGGTTGTCCGCGCTTAACGTCATCTCAGGTGGGCAAGCGCAGAGCTGAAAGTTACCAAGTATTTGATATCAAGCAAGTGATTACAAACGATATGTGATTCTCTCGATGAATGTTTACAAAATTGACACATGTATAGCAGTATATGAAGTGACGTTAACGTCATTATATTCTAATCGTACACGAAATGTTCGCGTATTTTCGTTAAATGCATGATATGCACGACATGCGTCAGGGTATGATATTACCATTTTGATCACGCATAAAATGTACTTACGTATGAATTTGCAGACGAAGGTAAGCACACGTGTGAACAGTTTCCACAGTTTATACGATAGCCGTCTATATTTCTGTGTGCCGTTATCAAATGAGAAATTTCTGTTTCTTTGTCTAGAAAGAATAAATTTACTTGACTTGACATCTCACAGATGTATATTATTTGTTGCTGAAACGTCAAACATACAAACTCACAAACTTCTGCGAAGTTTTTCTCCCCATATTTTTTCTGAATATTGTTTTTGTTCGCCCAAAATAGTTTAGTCAAACGGCGTTGTGTCCAGAAAATATATTCTCCTGCAATGGTAAGGCTCATAGGTTCGTTCAAGCTGGTGCGGAGGATCTGATAATCAAAACCTGAAAATTTGATCATTTGTTTGCGATACGTCTTAAAATTTTACGAAATAAGACTTTTTATCTTAACCGTTTGAGTGCCATCGATAGTTGCAAAATACGTGTGAAAAATGTCGATTGCGCTGTTACTGTTCTAAAAGTGTCGTGTAACGCGATCGCGCCCCTATTTTTCGTTACGTTTTTCATTTACTTTCTATGAGGCACTTATGACACAAATTATGAATGTTAAAATTCGATCTCGTAATAAAGTTTCTTAAACTTCTATAACAATCCTAACGGTGCGTTACAATATAATCTGAACGTTTGATATTTGAGTGCTTTTGCAGTGTTCACGAATATTAGATTTAATTTCCGGATTTGAGCCACGTGAATTCCATTTTGTTTGATTCTGACGTTTCGGACAAGAGATCAATCCAATCTGGCAATTGCTCCTGGTTTTCAAAACCTGACCGGCCAACAAATTCTCTACCACTCTCTTCTTCTTCGCAACTATCTTTCACCTCCTTGCTATTTCCCTCTATGTCAATCACTATATAAAGGATATTTGATGAGAAGCAACTTAGCATTAGGTCGTTACTCTCTGATAAAGCGAATTGAAATATTCGCGAAACATTGGAATCAGACAAAGAAGAATTCACGCGGCTCAAACCTGGAAATCAAATCTAATAAAGAATCTGACAATTAATTTTTTTTTCAGTGAAGCTTACTGAGATGAAGGATTGGCACTTATGAATAAAAGCAACGCACAATCGGGTTTTCTTAGAATTCAAACGATTAATTACGTATTTATCATATTTATAAGAGCTAGAATGCAAACCTGTCAACAAGGCGCTTTGGATACTGTAAGTGCCCTGATCAGCCCAATAAATTTTTTTTTCGTCCGTATGATAGTACAATGATATCCTTGGACCTTTTAGCAACTTGCTCTCTACAAACAGCGATTTCATACCCGTTCCATCCATTTGCATTTTATCTATACGATATTTATCCTTTACTTTGAACACTACGAACATTATGCTACAACATACAAGACGTCATACATTCTTTCAGAAATATTAGATTAATTCGTAAGTTCGTGCGAATTTTTGTTTACTAGTATTCGTATATTAGTATTAGAGTATTAGTTCCATACACGCAGTTGAAATCATCTATATATATGCTTTGATAGCTGACATTTCAGAGTATATTTTATGGTGTAAATGGTAATGTTTGAAGAAGTACACAGTTATTGTTGTTGATAGTTCGTTGCAGCTTGATAATAGAAGACAGTAATGAGTTTTTTCGGTGCATTGTACTTTCTTATTTTTGTAAAAATTATTAGAGTTTGGATGGAATGTTTTACTTTATCCACCATATTCATGCGATATTGTCCCCTTTCGCGATTATCATATGTTTCGCTTATACAGAACTCCCTTGGCGACATAAACTTTGTTTCTTTAGATGATGTGGACAATCACATGGAATGTCGAAAAAGTATAAAAGTTTTACGAGAGGAGAATTATCAAATTACGTAAAAGATGGCAAAAAAGATTGTCACACAGAATGGCAAATATATTACTGATTACAATTGTTTTCAACATAAAGTAAGATGCATTTCAAATTTGTTTAAAAATCTGCACGAACTTATAAATCAAGGAAACAATAAAAATTACAAAGACAAAATAAACAACTAAATATCATACCCTTCTTCAGGTGTCAAAGCGATATTATAAGGTTGATCCTCGAAATAAAAGATCTTCTTCGTCTTTGTCGTTAAGCTATGTACCTCAATAGTGTTTTCTTCTATATTTGTCAAATACAAATTATTACCAACATAATCGAACGCCATTCCTCCCAACGATTCAATCTTCATGGCTATGAGATTCTTAATTTTGTTGTTGATCGGGTCGTAGCGGAAGATATTATTCGTAAGGGCATTGCTTGCGAGTATAGTACCTAAATAAGTTTTAATTGTAATTAAAGTTTTAATACTTCCTTCGTTGCTGCACTCTCTCTTTCTGTAATATGCATTTTTTATGAAATATTAATGTCGTCATACCGGACAGTGAATCATAAGTAATCGCGGTAATGTTTGATAGGGTAACGCTGGTTGCTATTTTTGGCTTGCCAAACCAATTATGGTAATAATTTACAAATGTACCATCCGCAACTATGATGATATGTTGGCTATCTTCCGTGTCTAAAACAATAAATATGTTCGTCTAAAAGTATAATAAATATTGGTTAATACGTACGTATATTGTGGTCAACGTATAAAGGCAGACGATGCAGAGACGGTCGTCACTAATGCAATTACGCTATCTTTTATGCAGTTCTTGTATATATAGAACATTACTATATATTGCTTTGTTTATCGGGAAACTTACCCACGCATATATAAAAATCTTTGTGCAAATTTTTTCCGATATTCTTAAGCTTCTGAATTCAAAGACGAAGATACAGCAATTTAGTTCTCTAAAATTTGTTTGATTGGAGCCTTCACACTTTCGGTATACACAAGCTGCGGAACTTTTGGATGAGGCAAATATTATGCTAACAGCTTGAGATTGTATTGTATATTTAAATTTTCTTGTCGTTTTCGTCACATATTGAGCAATTTCTCTATTTTTGCATATACTTTTTTTGCGTAAAAGCATTTGTAATTTTTTTAACCAATGCGACGTAAACTTTGCAGAAATATATGTATACTATCGGTAAAGTTTTCAATTTCAGCGTCCCCTTAATGACGATCGC